TTTGGGATTTTGGGGCCAATCCTAAACCCCATTTTCTGCAGGAGCTGCGGGCAGTGTCGGTATCAGAATTTGGGTCAGAATTTGTGATTTCAGGACCATCCTAACCCCACATTTCCATGCAGGAGCTGCTGGGCAGCCTCGGTGTCAGGATTGGGGTCAGAATTTGTTATTTTAGGACCATCCTAACCCCAATTTCCCCGCAGGAGCTGCAGGCAGTGTCAGTATCAGGATTGGGGTCAGAATTTGTGGTTTTTGGACAATCCTAACCCCAATTTCCCTGGCAGGAGCTGCGAGCAGTGTCAGTATCAGGATTTGGGTTAGGATTTGGGGTTTTTGGACAATCCTAAACCCCGTTTCCCTGCAGGAGCTGCGGGCGGCCTCGGTGTCAGAATTGGGGTCAGAATTTGGGTCAGAATTTGGGTCAGAATTTGGGGGTTTTGGACCATCCTAACCCCAGTTTCCCCGCAGGAGCTGCGGTGAGTGTCGGTATCAGAATTGGGGTCAGAATTTGGGATTTTAGAGCTGATCCTAAACTCAGATTTCCCCGCAGGAGCTGCGGGCGGCCTTGGTATCAGAATTTGGGTCAGGGTTTGGGATTTCAGGACCAATCCTAAACCCCATTTTCTGCAGGAGCTGTGGGCAGCGTCAGTATCAGGATTGGGGTCAGAATTTGGGTCAGAATCTGTTATTTCAGAACAATCCTAACCCCACATTTCCATGCAGGAGCTGCAGGCAGTGTCGGTATCAGAATTTGGGTCAGAATTTGGGATTTTAGAGCTGATCCTAACCCCGAATTTCCCCGCAGGAGCTGCGGGCGGCGTCGGTGTCAGGATTTGGGTTAGGATTTGGGGTTTTTGGACCATCCTAACCCCCATTTCCCCGCAGGAGCTGCAGGCAGTGTCAGTATCAGAATTTGGGTCAGAATTTGGGATTTCAGGACAATCCTAACCCCAATTTCCGTACAGGAGCTGCGGGCGGCCTCGGTGTCAGAATTGGGGTCAGAATTTGGGATTTTGGGGCCAATCCTAACCTGCATTTTATGCAGGAGCTGCGGGCGGCCTCGGGGTCCAGATTTGGGTCAGAATTTGCTATTTTAGGACCGATCCTAAACCCCAGTTTCTGCAGGAGCTGCTGGGCGGCCTTGGTGTCAGGATTTGGGTTAGGATTTGGGATTTTGGGGTTAATCCTAAACCAGGATTTCTGCAGGAATTGCAGTCAGAATTTGGGGTTTTTGGACCATCCTAACCCCCATTTCCGTGCAGGAGCTGCAAGCAGTGTCAGTATCAGAAATTGGGTCAGAATTTGTGATTTCAGGACCATCCTAACCCAAATTTCTATGGCAGGAGCTGCGGGCGGCCTCGGTGTCAGGATTGGGGTCAGAATTTGGGTCAGAATTTGGGGTCTTTGGACCATCCTAACCCCAATTTCTATGCAGGAGCTGCAGGCAGTGTCAGTATCAGGATTTGGGTCAGAATTTGGGGTTTTTGGACCATCCTAACCCCAATTTCTGTGCAGGAGCTGCGGGCAGTGTCAGTATCAGGATTGGGGTCAGAATTTGTTATTTCAGGTCAATCCTAACCCCCATTTCCCTGGCAGGAGCTGCGGGCGGCCTCGGTGTCAGGATTGGGGTCAGAATTTGGGTCAGGATTTGGGATTTTGGGGCCGATCCTAAACCCGGATTTCTGCAGGAATTGCAGTCAGGACTGGGGTCAGGATTGGGTTTGGGGTCAGGGATTTGGGATTTTAGGACAATCCTGATCCCACATTTCCCTGGCAGGAGCTGCGGGCGGCCTCAGTGTCAGGATTGGGGTCGGGATTGGGATCAGGATTTGGGATTTTAGGACCGATCCTAAACCAGGATTTCTGCAGGAATTGCAGTCAGGATTGGGGTCAGGATTTGGGATTTTAGGACAATCCTAAACTGCATTTTCTGCAGGAGCTGCGGGCGGCCTCGGTGTCAGGATTGGGGTCAGAATTTGTTATTTTAGGACAATCCTAACCCCAATTTCCCCGCAGGAGCTGCGGGCAGTGTCAGTATCAGGATTGGGGTCAGGATTTGGGTCAGAATTTGGGGTTTTTGGACAATCCTAACCCCACATTTCCG